TCCTGGAGCTGGAGCTGGTGCAAGCATGTACATGGATATTTGTGCTAGCACTGGCAGCAGCTCCATTGCAGGTGCTGCGTTGAGACCGAGCTGGCGCTGGAAGCATTATAGTCGGAACCCGTGAGCCCTCCTTGTTGCAGAGTGGCCTGCATAGAGCCAAAAAATTTAAATGCTGGACTATGTCCCCACACTTATCAAGCCATTTAGCTTTGTGATTTGTTTGCTGTTGGGCTCCTTGGGTGTGATCCTGCAGGCTACGCTGGTGAAAAGGGCCATGGCAGGTGACAACATGTCAGCGTGTACTCATTAAATGTGTGTTTAAATCTTAGGATACTCTCAGGCATGGTTTTGGCACTCTCCCACAATCATGTAGTTACAGGTGGAGTTCATTCACTGAACTGAAATAAAAGCAATCTCTTTGTGAAGATGGAGCAGTATCACAAATGGCACAGTTCCTGGTAGGAATAGCAGCAGGTGGTGATAGTACTGAAGGTTTTCAATTTAATCTTGGATTTTTCTTCTCATCAAGTGTACTGTCAAGTTCAGACTAACTTCAAAAAAAGCAAAAAAGCACTTTTAGGTACTGCCCTTGCTGGGTTGATGGTTTCTGTGGGTTCAGTTAAATTTTCTTAGTTTAATCTTTTTGACCAAGCATTCCTCATTTTCAAATTTATTAAGTCTAGAGCTGGCATTAATGAACTTTTGCTTGCTTTTGGTTTCTGTCTGTAGAAAGCTGTCTCTTTTGCGGATGAAGATGAAGCCCAAGCTGCGAACGACTGTCTCCTGGTTTATTCCCAGGGAGAGTCCGGCTCCCCCCACGGCTCCATCGGCTGCTGCAGCTTTATTGAGGGTGACCTGGACGACCGCTTTCTTGATGATTTAGGAGACAAATTTAAGACTCTAGCAGAAATATGCATAGGCAGACAGATTAACATGAAAGACAGCTCCAGGAGTGAATCAGGTTTCGGTCTTAGTGACACGAAGTCGCGGTTCTTAGATCAGCAAAATGCTTCCAGCTCCGAACAAGGCTTTGCCTCGGGCAGCAGCCCCCAGCCCGCCCCACCAGTGCTCGCGGGCGGTGGCACAGGAGAAGGCACCATGTCCAAGGAGGTGCTCACGGAAACAACCTTTGCATCCCGCTCTGGGCAGCACGACGCCCGGCCCCTTCCCACAGCCCACACGGAGACCAATTTCACCGTGACGGAAACATCCTACTCCGCGGGGGCTCCTGCCCGCTCGGCCGCTGTCTTTCTAGACCCCCAGTTTAAGGAGAACGTAGTGGTGACAGAGAGAGTGCTGGCACCCGCATCGAGCTTGCAGGGTATGGTGGAAATCCCCGATTTACCGCACGGAAGTAACGTGGTGGTTACGGAGAGGATGGTGAAGTCAGAGGGCACCGGGCCAGGAGCCCTGCTGGTTGAGGATCTCCCTGACTCCCAGTACGTTGTGGTGAGGGAGCGGGAGAGGGTGCTCGTACCCGCTGCAGAGCAGGGCTCGCTCAGCCTCCCCTCCTCGGTGGCGGGGCACAACGTGGTGGTGAATGAAAGGGTGGTGACATCCTCAGGGATGCAGAGCAGAGCCGAACAGGCAGCGGACTCTCTGCTTAACCAGGCGGGCTCCAACTTAGAGGGGTCTCCTCCTGCCAGTGCCACGCTGAGCAAGTCTTCCAGGGTCACCAAATACAGCACGGTGCAGTACACTCGCTCGTAGCCTGGCCCCTTGCGGGGGTGGCGGGGTCCGGCACCCTTGGGTCAGCTTGCTTCTCACCTCTGGCTTTTTCTTGAGACCCAGATTTGCTGGAGCTCTCAGAATGACATGGACTCGCTAGTGGTAGTTTGCATTTGGATTTGCATAAGGATTATGACCAAGAAGCTAGTAAGGAAATCTGCTGTTATTAGGCAACATTGGCAGCGATGCTTTTGAAGTGGAAAGATGTAGGAAATACTTTTTTTCCCTTGTTTGCTGTTTTTGTAATTGCTTTTTATTATTGTTAGTGTAATAATACCACATAACCACAGCTGCATAAATACGGAAAAGCAGAAAGAAAAGTCTAAAACTTAGTGATGGATAGTAGTATGCAAAGCACAAGTTAGGTTTGTGTATCTGAAGTCCCCCCTGAGGGGCATCAGTTTCTCATGGTGTGTTTGCCATCTGTTAACTCATGGCCCAGGGTGGGTCCTCCTGAGCTGCAGCTACTGATCTCTGCACCTAGGTGAATTGGTAAAAAATCTCTCCTGCATGAGAAGCCCAGGCCATCAAAGCCAATACGTCCTCAGGGCTGTGGTGTGTTGGTCTCCTGGAGGGATGTCACAACTTCAGGTGTCAGCGTTTGTACGTTAAGCAATCAATACTTGCATATTAACACAGGGGTTAAAGAGAGCAGGTAGCAAAAAAGCTGCGATTTTTTTTTTGGTCTCTCAATGTAAAAATTCCATTACTTGGTGTGGATCTAGGCTGACACGCAACACGTAAGCATTTGCAGCGTATAGATGTGGTGGTGCAGCCCCCCCTCACACCTGGCAATCCCAGAACCAGCCAACATTGTATTCTTGCTTGCACTGCAAGAATAGCTGGCTGGTGTGCAGTGGATCGGGACTACTTGGCGCTGTCCTTGTCTTTGTACAAGAGCAGTGAGCTGGGCGGATCGGGCACTCCCTGACCGCACCTGGAACTCCCAGTGCCCGGAGTCGCACCCGCCTGGTGAATGTCAGAACCGTTCAGTCTGGGTGGTGCTGGAATGATATAGCTGCTGTCTAAATACCAGGATTGCACTGTGTGGATTGTGACCAGGATGGAAAATCACTGATGACTAAAGTCAATCATCTTTAGACCCTACACACAGCGGTACCAAGGAAGACGCTTTGAGCTCTTCTGGTCTGCAGCGGGGTGCACCCAGTAACTCCCTCCGAGTGGGACGCCTCGCAGAGTATTTCACAAACTGTTTGGGCTGGTCTCCTCGAGAGTCGACCTTCGCCCATTGAGAAATCATTGGATTTGAAATGAGTGTTTCGCTGAACTCGAGGGGCGTTCTTATGATTGCGTGTGTGTGTGAATCGATTCAAAACATAATATTCTGTTACTTGATAGTAATAGCAAATTTTTTTAATAACTAAGTTAAACAGTGGTTAATAGCTGCTAACTTCGTGTGATTCTCTCTCTCTTTAAACTGTGAGCACACCATGAACTGCTGTTAAACATATCCCTTAGACATAAACCGTTGTGGTCTAAGGCCGGTTCCAGATCCAGCTGCACCCAGGCTCCTGTCTGAACCTGGTGACTCAACAAGAGAGTCTCCCTGTCCCCTTACACTTTTCTTTTACCTCTGTATAAATCATTTTCCATGTAAAACCTCCTTTGATTTTGTATTCCATACATTTAATAAGTAATAGAGTGAACCTTGCCAACGAACTTTGTAAAATTACACTTTCTAAATTTTCAGTGAAATCTTTTCTTGCAAAACCTTGGAGTGATTATAGAAGTGACCTACCCACTCATTCGCGACAATAAATTTTTCACTGGCTCCTAATTGGTCCTTTAATAATGTATGAGAACTGGCCAAAACTTACCTTAGCTTTAGAGCCAGAGATTCAGTCAGTGGCTTTGCTAACATCTGTAGGATCTGATTTACAAGTGCAATTAACAATTAACTAAGTGATTGTAATTCTGTCTGTGCTTGTATCTGTGAGTTCACAGAAATGCAGGCTGATATATGTGTGTGTGTGTGACGTTCTGTTGGCTCCAGTAGCGGAGCTCGGGTGGCCTGTGTGGTGCCATATTCTGAGAAGACAAGAGAAAGCTCCCTATGCTTGTGCAATGCTTAAAATTACTTTTCTTTCCATGAAATTTATGTGGTAAAAGCAGAAGACAGTACTGCACTGTTTGGCAACATGTATATATGCATATGTAAATATTTATTTGTATGCAATTTGAAACATGTTAAAGTGAATTTTGTAGAGGAAAAACTGCCATACACTCCGCATGTTTTGTCAGAGTAGAAGGAAGTATTTGAGGTTAGGTATTGGTACCATGTATCAGCAAGCCAGTCCTGGGGGAATGCGAAGCACGTGCAGCTGCAGAGCTTTCTGATTGTCTCCATCTCTCAGAGTTCTGCGGCTGCAATGTTATCTTTTCCACTGATATGCTTTGCCTTTGACTAGAAATGCTTCCAGTGTATTTTATGTGAGTGATAAGGATGTAAAAGTTGATTCAGAAACATAAAAAGTAGGAACTATGGCTATGCTCACCAGGGTGCATCTTGACAGATGGGCCATTACATTAAGTGGAGGAGTGCTTCCAAGCAAATCAAACTACTCGCTTGCTTGGACCTGTTCCTTATTTATCTCTTAAATGTCATTTTTGTGTAGTTACAGGGAGTGAACTTATTTCTAACTTTTTAATGGAGTATTTCTGTGGTTTTATTCAATTGTAAAATAAAGAACTCTGCTGTATTGTTTTTATTCTTCATTCAGTTTTAAGACAGCTTACCCCAGTGAAAACACTGACTTTCCTACTGCACATAAAAAGCTTGAAGACCGAATAAGGTTTGAGATTTTCCAGACAGCCTGAAGGGGTATCTGAAAGATACAAGTGTAATAAAAGTTGGTGTCCTGCTAACTTACAGATTCTGAAAAAAATGTGAATTCTGCCTGCTGGTTAAGCACACTAAATTTTGTAAGAACTTGATGCAAGACAACAGACATCCCATCCACAGATTTACTGGGCTTTGAGTCAAACTCTTCTCATCAGTTTATACTTCCAAACCATATGGAATAAAATATTGTCTTAGTCTTATGTTTGTTAATACATATAGTTGTTAACATCCAGAAGAGGATGTAAGAGTCAGGACTGTGTCACAGAAATCCTGACTTCCCTGTGTATTGTTTATATATAAACATTGATCGCAGATGTGCTAGTGCTGTGAAGAGTATATTTGAATAGGTTCACTAAGAATGAATCTCCCTTCTTGTACCAAGACTCCAGATGCTATCAGAATGTGCTAATGCTGGCAGAACATCCATCAGATTAAATAAGGCACTTCTAATGGAGCTGTGTTTTGTAAATGATGGTGGCTGGTGGGAGGAATGTACAGACCCAGACTAATGGAAATGCCTGGTTAGCATCCGACCACTAGATAACCCTGACACGGGGATGAGCCCCAGACACTTATCTTTGTGAGAGATGCCTCATTCTGACTTCAAAAGTAAAAACAAAGTCTGTGATTTTCTTATGTAAAAATAACAGAGCATGGTTGTGCTGGAATACCAGCATGACACAGGCTGTATCGACGCTACTCTTCCGTGATTCATGTTTCCTGGGGATCCTCACCAAGCACGTCAGACTCGGTGATGTACCGAGTCACTGTGGAACCAGTGTGCCCCAGCAAGGTGCAGCCGTCCCCAGCAGGAGGACGAGTGGGGACCGCCTGTCCTGGGCACCTATGAGAAGGCATTTCCTTTGTCCTGCCTTGGCATAGACTTGGATCCAGGCTTGACTTCGAAAGACAGAACGATCTCTTCCAGGCTCCATTCTTTCCTGGGAATTTGAACATTGTCCACCATCAAAGGCTTAAAGCTTGTTGGGGTTATCAGTAGTAAATCGGTTTTTAAAAAGTTAAACAAATCAGCTGCTCTCCCCAGGAGGGGGATGGTACCTGTTTATGGCCTTGAGGAATCCAAAAAATGCATCGCTCCCTCTGCTTGCGCTGTGGTAGTGGAGCTAATGGCCCTGGCTATCTCCTCCACTGGCCCCTTCTCCCTCCTGGTGGCCTTTGAGCTCCCTGCGAGCTCAAAACAGAGTGACAGCCATCTGCCCCTCCTGCCTCCTGGGCAGCAAAGCTGTCCGTGCCTGGCACCAGCGCAGGCTTCCAAACGCGCTCCTCAAGCTGAGGAGGGTTTATAGCCCTCCCGCCTCAGCTCCCGGCTGGCTTCTGACCTACGATTCAGGTGTTTCATCAGAATATTTCTGAGATTTGTTATCTCTAGCAAATAAAACTCAGAGATGAGATATCACCTCCCAGTGATTAAGCAACAAACTGGATTGATTCCCTGGCTAATGATTGTCCAAGATCTTTGGAGCACGGCTAAAGTTTAAACGCTGGGGGAAGACAGGAGTTTGAGAGAACAGCATTGGTACCAACTGACGGGTTTCCCTCCGGCCTGGAATCCAGCCTCCCGGAGCACCCTTGTACCCTTCTCTGGCTGGGGACAGGGCGTCTGGGAGCAGCTGTGGGACACGGGGTGGTGGCAGACGCTGAGCTGCGGGGCGTAGCTCAGTGGCAGGGACATGGCACTGGGCTGCAGCAGTGCCCTGGGCTGGGTGCCAGGGTCAGGGCTGCAATGGCCTCCCTGGGCGACCTCCAGCCTGGCTGATTGCCTTCGCCGCCTGCTCCCCGTGCCCAGGCTGGTGCCATCCTTGCTTCCCTTGATTTCTTCCCCTCATGAAAAACTCCCAGCACCACATCCCTAATGTAAGGCAGGTTTGTTTTATTTTGTTTTTTAAATCTCTAAGCATTACCTATTACTCCTTTCATGAAAAGAAAACTAAAAGCAGAGCTTCCAAGAAGGAATTACGTACTTACGGCATCAGCTTTTAGATGGAGCCAAACCACGTCTCCCAGATGATGCATTGCACCCGACGCAACTCACATCAGACAGCTAGTGCTGCAGGGAGGGACTTGCCCTGCGCATAGGGGTGCTCACTGCTCCACCATT